AGGACTCGGCCTAACGTGTTACACCTGCAGCCTGTCAGCCTGGTGTGTCAACGTCTCTGGTCAACATGGAGGTATCAGGTAGGTCAAACTCTTTTGATACAGCTTTAAACCCTGTTTTAGGCCTTCACCATACAATGACTACAATATAAGTGATAGTGCTTAATCATACCATAATCACAGTGTAAGTAATATTGCTTAACCATAACGTGACCACAAGTTTTGGGATATTACTTAACCATAACGTGACCACAAGTTATGTGATATTACTTAACCATAACATGACCACAAGTTATGTGATATTGCTTATCCATAACGTGACCATAAGTTATGTGACATAGCTTAAGAATCATGTGACCACAAGTGAAGGGATATTGGATATCACATGGATATTTTAAGCTTAACAGATTCATTTATTTCTTGAACCTTTAGTTCTGTGTCCTTCTATTGATTTTTTTTTTCAATGTTTAAAGAATGTCTTTTTAGCCATTGATGTTCAGTCAGCCATAGCAAATCTGTCATCTACTGATGACATGACGACAACAGATGTCCTTTTATCTCATGAGGTCCCACCGATATAGGTTTCATTTGTATCCTCAGGTCCTCTCCAGCTCCATAAAGTTGAAGGTCAAGGCCTACCAAAACTGTATGCATGGCTGAGCAGCCATCTGCCTGAGACGTGGAAGGTGAGAATGCATTTAAACATCAAGAGACGGGATTTCGTTGATTATAGGGGACGCTTGTCACTGTCACCAACGGGCCGTCCATAAGGAATGTCACCATGTCACTCGTGTTCAAGTTTAGTTTGACATAAAGATTCTCAAAATTTTGTGGTTGTAATTGGGGCCAATGGTGCATATGAAGTAAACAAAAAAAAAAAAAATCTGACCAATTTTATCCTTTAAATTATTTGTTTTCATATATTAGTTATACCCATGCTAATTTTTGAGTTGATAGAGGTGACGAAGAGGAGTTTGTATAACCATTCCCAACTGTTACATATCTTGATGAACATGGGTTGCCCACCTGGTCCTCTATCCAGATGTGGTCAACCGTAAGAGAGACCATGAGCGGCAGATGGCAGGGGACCACTTTCTACGCACTCGGCTGGCCGGACAACATCGTGGCTGTAGGCGAAGGTCCGCCAGATGAGAAGTGTCCGGTAGGACTCCCTGTCTTGTATTTGTCCAGCACTTGGAGTTCCACATGTAACAGGAAAAGTTAATAACGAAACCCTTTAACACATTCCCTATTAAGATTGAACGTTTCGACTTTCTTGTTTTTTTACAAGGCATGCTGCACTTTTGTTAAAAACTCATTTGTTAAAAGAAACTTGTGTTATATATTTATATATGGAGTTGATACAAAGTTGGTCAAAAAAGTGAGCTTAGCTGTAAAGCATTGTCAGGATTGAAAGCTCTGCGAAGCAGCCACCTTATTTTTTTATTTTTAACAAACATCTTAAATCCTCCTTTATTCATCACTTCCCTTAAGTTAATATCATTTTATTTATTTTTTTTATTTTTTACTTTACACTTTGTCATTAAACTCTACGTGCTGAACATGACCCGCTTGGACACGCTAAGAGATGCATTACAATTTTAATTACAATTCCTCGACAGGCGCGAAGCTACTTCACCAAACCAAGAACCACCTGGGCGTACGGTGTGAGTCAAGCTGACATGAACACCCTAATGACCTGGCCCGGTTTTATGGACTGGACGGAACGCTCTATTTTCTTTGGTACATTTTATTATCTCAGAATAAATTAGTTGGGGTTAAGATTACTAATTACTAGCCAAAAATACCCGGCGTGAACTCGGGTTGCATTCGGGGGGGGGGGGGGGGGGGAAGAAACAACCTCTGCAGCCTTTTCAGCTAACATTAAAATTAAAGGCCCCGTCAGAACAGAACAAAAGACGTCGTTACAGAACCGATCGAAATATACAATGTTATCTCTTAAAAAGCCAATTAAGAGATAAGCTTTGTAAATATTTATAGGTCAAAAACTCTGCTGTAAAGGCAAATCTGACTTTAAAAAATGTACAATCAAAAGCATTTCAGGCCGACACCAAACTGTGGACGCTTATCACTAAAAATAAAGGAGAATCGGGTTGAGATCCCGCTTCTCGGTGGGATCCTGTTACCCGGTTGGATCCCGGGTCCCCTTTGGCTTCTCTTCCCCTGGTGGGATCAATAAGATGCACTTTTAGTTATCCCTAAGGTAGATTGCTTCATAAAAATTCTTTACATAAATATTCAAAATAAAGTTTTAGAAAAATGTCCCCATTACAATCGGATTGAATTTGTGAAAGATGATAGCTTTTGAACAGTCCCTTCCCCCGAAAGCAATCATCTTTTAAAGCTCTAAATCAGTGAGTATTTTCAATTGATATTGAATAAACATATTTTTCTGGCTGTCCCCTTAATTTGATCCCTTTCCCCGGATTGATCTTGTTCTCCCTTGTATCCAGATCCATAAGGTTCACTTAAATGTATCCATGAGATAAATGTATCCATCAGATAAGTGTATCCATGGGATAAATGTATCCAGAAGATAAATGTATCCATATGATAGATGCATCCATAAGATAGGGTCACGATCCAAAAATACACGTAGAAGCGTAATATCGGCCATTAACTTCAGTTATGTATACCTCTTAGGCCATAATAAGGGGAAAGTAATTTGGAACTTTCTAGAAACTTTCAAAATTATCTTCAAACCTTATTCCATAGCATTCGAGGAAAATCCTTGAGAGCTATGGAAAGATAAGAAAAGTATTAAGCAAATTCATAATCTTAAAAGCTTCATAAAAAAATGTAACTTGCTAGAGTAACCTAAATACTTCAAAAAATGTCTAATGATAAATTCAGCGATACTTGGAAAAATCTCAAGGAAGTTATAGAAAACCATAGAACCTAAATCACGATTCCCAAAATGTTTAGATCTCATTGCGACTTCATTGTTTGGTTTTAACTCGTCTTATCCACTAGGTAAAATGAAGAACATTTTTGGGAAATGTGCTAGACACCTTAGTAAAACCTATTAGAGTAGAGACTTGTGAAACAACTCTATACAAAATCATTTTTGCAATAGAAAAACATCTATTTTTCATTAAATTTAAAAGGGGGGCTACCGTGAGCCATTTTAGTTATGCCTATTAATACATTCGTACAGAAAAATAGTGCCCAAAAACAGAAACTGTCAAAACTGGTTTAGAATTAACAGACAGATATTTCATTTTAACACCTCTGAATCTAGCAATAGAAGCAGTAAATTATTTCTTTTCAACCATATGTTCCAACATTTTTTTTTTAAAAATAATTGTTTTGTCCCCATCTCTTTGACACTAGTTGTCCCATCCATAGTTATCGACGTTGTTCTGGAACTTGACGTATGTCAGCGGGGCAACAACTCTGTCCCAAAACGATTGTTGGGTTCACTAATGGTTGCCTACCCTGGTGATGTAAAAATCTGGTGCTCTTTTTTTTTTTTTTCTTACTCTTTAGAATGTAGAAGAAAAATGAATCATTTAAAAAGCTGTCTAAAAGTCTTGTAAAAAAATAATGTTACTTAGGTTTAAGGTTAAAGCTACTATAATGGCGCTTACCGATAAACAAAATACATGAAACATGCCAAATAATAATACCAAAAATTTGTAAATAAATAATGTTACTTAGGTTTAAGGTTAAAGCTACTATAATGGCGCTTACCGATAAACAAAATACATGAAACATGCCAAATAATAATACCAAAAATTCCTCCCCCCCCCCAAAAAAAAATAATTTTGTTCATCATAACAATCAGGCCCGTGCCAGATGGTCTCACATTGCGAGGTCTGGACCCTGACCTGCACACAGATTTAGTCAATGCTTCGTGGGCGCTACGTCGTGATTTTTCCCAGGACTATGTGAGAACCCTAATCCAGACGTTCCCGTCTTTAGGCCTATTTAATAGGTAAGTGACCTTGACCTTGATGCGGGCCAGACCCCATAAATTGCGTTGGCTCTCCAATGAACATAACCGTATCTAGTTGTTTGGTTAGATTAACCTCCCTTACCACTATTGTGCAATGTCTATTTATATTTTTGAAGAAGGAAAAAAAAAAACAACATTTTCTTAAACTAAGTTTTCAACTGAACAAAATGTGGCTGTGATCTTTGTCTGAAATTCTCCTCAAATGGATTACACAGAGCACGAGCAGTTTTGAGAATGCCACAAAGCAAGGGTTTAGCTGCATTTTTTCAAAGGAATCAAAGATTTTTCAAAATATGAACACAACAACTGAAGATAAGCCCATAACATTTTACATGTCAAAAGAAGGAAATTCTCATACAGAAGTAATGTATAGACAAAAAATTCCCTTCCTAATTGATTTAGAACTGTTAATCTGAACATCTTTTTTGCGATTACAACTTGAAATTTATTTAATTTATTTGGTGCATCGTAAACATCAAAATGCTTTGGCTTCTCTCAACATCTGAAATGCAACACTCGCGGACGCTTCAATAGAGTTCAAATGTCATCCAAAATACGTGCAAATCTGTGGGATAAAGCAATGCATTGCCCCGTGAGTGGGTAATCAAAAGAGGAGTATAATCCCATAGTAGCCACTGCTATAATAAGTGAATGTTAAATTTTCATATTTAGAGAGTTGTTTTTTTTGTTTTGCTTTTTTTTATGTGTGTATCTCGTGGTCCTTATGCGTTCTCTGGAAAAACTAAAGGGTTTTGATTTGGGATGAAGACGTACGAATACCCACGAAAAATCTGTGCTGGCATTTCGTGATGGAAAGTAAGGATTAACTTGAGAATTTCTCAGTGACTGTCTCTACATGAGTAACAATGTTCCGAATAATAACATCTTCTTGTTCTCATCCCTTTTTTTCGTGGTGACTTTTTACAAAAAAATATATATATATTCAAATATATATTATTAAAATAAAAAAACTGATGTCATCATGTATTTCAGTGATGACAAGTGCGTAGCTTTCGAACTGGTTACCGAGTTCGGGGCCTTGGGCCTGCTTTACGTTGTGCCGGAGGCGAGGGGTCAGGGCTTGTCCAAGGTCATCACGAGTCACCTGGCGCACACGTTTTTCTCGAGAAACTTGCCTGCGGCCGTCATCATAGTGAATACCAATGGTGTGTCCTTGAAACTGCACGAGAGTCTGGGCTTCAAGGTCAAGTGCACCCTGGAGATCTTGCATTACACCCCTGCTAACGATCAGACGCCAATGTTTTAACTTTTTTTGTTCAGACATTATTGGTTCTAGTTGTGCTGCATGGAGTTAGGAACTCCTTCACCCAGCCAACACTCGACCTCCCCGTAAAAATGCACCGCATCTCCTGATGTGCAATTTGGTTTTTGATTTTCCTTTGATAGTTTAGTTCCCGTGTTGTTGAAATAAAGAGCCAAATAAAAGGATTACTGTGAAAACTGGTTGGAGAAAGGAATGAAGATTTGCGTGTATATCTCTTTGGAAAAGTGAATGGAGAATCGCATGGATACATTTCTGGATAACTGTTTGGGTAAACGTATTAAGAAGTGGGTAGAGAACCGTATGGACACCTTGTAAAAAAAGGGGGGGGGGGG